CATTCTCTTCAATACACATGTACATTCATACACCCTCCTTTAATTCCAGCCATCCATATATATATATACAGTATGTACCATATATATGTGTGTGTGCTTCAAAAAGATCTGTGCCTTCCGTATCTTCTATGTTCTCTGCTATCAGTTTCTGGCTCTATACAGAATAATGGGAAAATTGGTGGACATTGTTGCATTCTACAAATTAGGTGGTTTAAATGAAGAAAGGCTGTAGGTTTTATCTACAATAAAAAGGTCACTAATAAGTTTAAAGGAATGTTTTATTGCACTACTATAAAATCATGTTATATGGTAGTAAATATTTGATTTAAAAATAATTAAAAGAATATAAAGTTGGGATTCTAGACAAAAGAATATTGAGATAAATATATGAACATACATATAAGGAAAGATAAGATTCATGATGATCACACAAGAAAAAGAGTTAGTGTGGCATCCATCATGGAAGAAATTGTTGAAGATAATTTGAAACTGTTTAAAGAAAATTAATAAAAGCTTCAATAAAATAGTGGAACAAACAATTTTAAATCTAATAAAGAAGGATGAGGATTGAAGAAAGCACTAAATGAAATTATTGAAATGATCATTTGGTTGATAATTTTTTCGAAGGTTTATTTACTGGTAAAGAACAAAAATATTATATAATTTATATAACCCATCTCATTTAAAGGGAAAAAGTTTGATGTTGTTGAAGTTTTTCACAAATTAACCCCAGTCAACAATTTCCTTTCTTTTAATTTTTTTTTTTTGGTTTTTTGTCTTCTCCATGGGTTAAATAAATCACAATTTACATCATCGTGAATAAATTAAAGATAACATCATGTGCCAGAATTGACACGGACGAATTGGTCAAATCGTTGATGTACAAGCAATTTTTTTTTTTTGGCTCACCACATTCGCCGACAGATGGAATAAAATAATGAATATAGGCTGTAATTGTGAACAAATAGGTCAGATTACTTTCAGGTCGTGTTACTTGGAGAAGCTGAGGGAGGAAGAAGAGGAAAAGCATAAACTCAAAAACAATCTCAAGTATACGACACTTATAGTTATTTTATCATAATTAAATAGAGTTAATTAAATCATTAAATTAATCTAACAATAAAATGACTTTTTAAATTTACCCTTGTTTAATTAAAAGCATAAATTTTGAAAATAAAAATCTTCAGAAGTTATAAATAAGGATGATTTAAAAAAAACTTGTTATAAATGTTAGGATATTATGTAAAGGTTCATTATCTTAAGTTTTTCAATATCTTTCGATTATTATAATATTTTTTAGTTATTTTATCTTATATATTTATTCAGTTTAATTGATATATTTATATTAATAAATAGAAGGCACCTCATTTATATTTTATACACTAAAATAAGAAAGTTCTTTATTTTTTTATTCTCTTTGTATATTTTTCTCTCATCTCAACCCCTATTTTCATAACAAAACTAACTAATACACCACTTTTTATGTAAAGTGATTGATAAGTTAGACCGTCAAATTATTCCAGAAAATAATCAATTCCCTAGAATAATGCATGACATTTTTTAGTAGTTTTGTTTGCCCTAAAATATAAAAATTGAGATAGTTTTATAATTTTAGCCAATTATATTCTTAATTTATTTAATATTTATCATAATTTTAATTTTTATTATTAATATATTCATATAGGGTATTTAATAAACACATAACTAAAAAAACGTATTATTATTTTAAAAAAAATCTAAGATTTCAATTAATTTTTTTTTCAACTGCAGCCGTCTTTTATATATTGGATATACCTTTTTTAATTAAATTATTATATATATAATCTATATAAATTTAAATTCAAATTTTCAGCTATTCATGTACACAACGAAACCTCTTTCCATTAAATTATTATATATAAGGAATACACGATGAGGATTTAGATTCTAATTTTAAATTTTCAGCTACTTGTTTATGAGATATGAAAGAGTACAGGATAAAATAAGAATACTTTTGTCATGAGAGAACAACTTTAGGCCCATTTTAAGTAAAAAAAACACAGAAAAAAGAACTTTAGGCAGTGACGAAAGAGGAGGCCTCACACTCCTATAGGCTTTGCTTTTTAGCAGCAGAAGCTGTCGGCAATTTCTTGGAATGTGTTAAGCACCTGAGAGTCTCAGATTCCAAGAACACCGTAACAATGCTGCTCAATGCTCATCACTTTAACCTTGTGAAGGCACCCATTGGGGCTTCCTAGTTTTGCACTTTAATCATTGGCTTAATTCATCATTGTTCTTTTGTATATGTTCGTGTGACACTTGTCTAAATACTCGTTCATTGCCTCCCATTACCATTTCTCACCCACGTGTTTGGTTCATTGCTTCTGGCCATATGGGAACATTGGACTTGTTCTTCACTTCTGATCTAATTATAACCTCTAGTAGCATTTTGATTCGGTGTTGCTGGGTTTTTCTTCTTAGCTGAGATATGTGAGACAATTTCGATCCCGAGGTGTGACTTTTAAGAACTGGAATCCATCGAAATATGGCAAATTCTATAGTTGTCATGAAAACTTGTCCACGGTTTGCAAATTTAAAGATGAGATGCTGAGAAAACAAGCAATCAATGTGGGTAAATAGTGAATTCTGAATCACGAAAAAGATTGAACAATTATTTTTCAAAAATTTATTAAAAGGAGGCGGATCAATCAATTAGTATTGTTAATAACAGAGTAGTTTTGGGATCGATGTACAATAAAGAAAATACCACTCCATAATGAGGAGGCCGTTACTATATTAAATTCAAGGACAAGTAAGCAGTAAATTCATAATAATTGCAGGGTAATTAATGAGGTACAGCGTACAGAACAGAGTTGAATTGAATAAAAATTTCACCCTCACAGCAGAGAAGGACTGGTCTCCATCTCGAACATCACAATCTCCTGCAGCCATAAACACAACACAAACGAAATGGACCCCACTATACGAACAAACCAGATCAGTTCAGCTACTTAAATGCTGGGTCAGAATACAGGTCATTGAAACCCTCGCCTAGTCGCAGTAATTCATGCAGGTTATAGAGCTAGCATCAATAGGAAAATTGCAACTCCAAGGAAAAATAGAGGGAATCAAATATCACTGAGGTTTGATTCTTTGCTTTGCGAGGAAAAGGAAAAACTGACCAAGCAAAGGTGAAAGGGGGGAATCACGGGACCATGAATAAAAACGAAGCTCTCTGCAAAAAAAAAAAAAAAAAAAAAACCAGTGATGGAGGTGGTACCGGTAGGACACTGACGCACAGTTCCAAAAGTTAACCTCCCTCGTTGACTTATTTTGGCATTGGCAACCCTCTATGTCGGTTACATGCTAGTAACTGGGAATTTGTTCAGAGTAAAAATTAGGGCAAATATCAACTTAGACCACTAAAGCAAAGTTGTGCTAAAAAAAATATATAAAATATTTTAAGCAAGTCTCACTCTCAATAAAATAATTATTTATTTTTAAATTAATTTTATTTTTTATATTTATTTTTATTAAATATTTTATAATAAATATAAAATTATTATCAATAGAGGTATTTTTAAAAAAAATAATAATTATATCTTAAAAGGCTTACATTATTAAATATTAACTCTTTAAAAAATATTTTATATTTTTAAATGAAATATCCAAAAAGATATAGAATTATGATATTGCATTGCAACTCATTAGTCTTTAGTTGAAAGTAGATTTTTTATTAGAAATTACTGCAATGTTTTTAAAATTTAAAATAACAAAAATAGTCCTTTGCATACAGTTAGTCACCAAAACTTTGACGCGTGTGATAATTTATTAAAAAATAATTGGTGAAAGTAATTAAGGAGGTTTGATTTTACAACTCCTTTGCCACGTAAAAACTCTATCACTATCAAGCTCTTTTATTTATATCTGATAAAAAAGAATTTATGTTGTGCCTCAAATTTCAAACTCAAATTTTTATAAGTGTTAATTATTCATAAATAAATATCTATTAAATTTTAATAAATTATTTAAATTAACAACAATCTATTTAAATTTTAATAAGTTAGAAAACTGGTTATTGTAATTTCAAATGAAGAGTTGTCAAAATTTGAATGAATTTATTATTAATAAATAACTAATGTTTGTATAATTAAACCTATTTTATTAGTTTTTTTTAATTTATTAAATTTGAATAGATTGTTGTTAATTTAAAATGAGGAATTGTCAAGACTTGAATAAATTTTTATTAATGAAGGATTAATACTTGTACAATCAAATAAGATCTTTTAGTTTTTTTAATTTGTTAAAACTTAAATAAATTGTTATTAATTTTAAAAGAGTTATTATGAAATCTGAATAGATACTTATGAATTAACACTTTATAAAATATTGGGCTAGAAGTTGGAACTACTACATTGTATTATTTTTTGCCATACATTGATCAAAGTGGCTTGATAGTTTAGTGGCCACAGCTTTAATAAATTGTCATCGATGCCATGGCTCTGGTAATCTTGCCGTTGAAAGGTCTCCATTGGCAGTCCAATGGCTCCTGTTGGTGAAAATGGGGTGGCTTTTTTTTTTTATTTTAAACTTTAGGGATATTATGATCATTTCTTACAAAAATTTATTTTTCGCTAAGGATTAAGGAGTTACAATGTAATTTCAAAGTCCTACAGTCTTTATTTAATAAAAATTTTGCTTTAGTGTTCCAACGCTGATAATTTCTCTAAAAATTATGTAATTTTATTTCGAATTGTGTATAACGAAGTCATTTTCTAAGGTTTCATATAACCTTAGGACTTTTGCCCAAAAAAAATAAAATATATATATATATATATATATAATCTTAGAGAGGAGTGATAAAAATGAACCGAAAGAGTATATAAATATTTCTTTGGAAACGCCCACTTTAACTTTATCCATTTAATAATATTTCCATTTTTGTGCAAAGGCCTTTCAGTGACTGGGTTATATAGCGCGGATGAGATGGTAACACACAGTGACATAGGGAAGGAGGGGGAGAGAGAGAGAGAAGAGGGGGGAGGGGCCATTTTCATTTTTCAATTTAGAAGCAACGGGAAGGCTTTTCCATTGGGCGGAGATTTTTTGGGGGGCTCACAATAGAGACGAAGAAAATAGGCCCAACTTCAAGCAATAGATAAATAGATGGTTACTGCAAGAGATGAGAAATGGAAAGAAGGGAAAGAGAAACTTGTATAAAGGCCTCTGAATCTAATCTATTGCTTTTGCCTTTCTAATCACTTCCATCTGCAAAGGAAAGACTTTCGTAAACAACAATAACAGATCATCAAGCACCCAATCCCTTACAGATCGAGATTGAATTTATGAGGATGGTTGCTGGGTGGAGAAGGGCGTTCTGCACATCCATTCCCAAAGACAGAGAGTCCAAGGTTTTAACAGAGAAGCAGCAGCATTGCGACAACAATACCACCAATCAGAGTCCCAAAATCAGCACCAAGTTTGCGTTTTTCTCCAACCCTTCCACCCCACGCTTGCAGCCTCAGCCGGTGACAAGCCCCACCCTCCGGTGCCGGACGACGGTGGCCGCTGCAACTACCACTTCCTCTGTTCCTAATAGCCCAAAACTCCAATGCAGTAATGCTAAGACTCCGAAGAGGCAACACAGTCCCACGCTGCTTCAGCTCTCAATCCCTCCTCACCCAAGTCACCCTCCAGTATCTCGTTTCTCAGAGCCAGCTTACGATTATCCAGAGTAAATGAATTATACTGACTTTTTTCGCCCCACATCTGATATTTGATTTGATTCGTTTTCATAATCTGTACAGTGAAATCCTGTTATTGCTATGCTGCTGCCTACTCTAATAATTCTCACTTTTCTCTAACTTTTGAACTTTTCAATTCTGCAGAGTAGATGTGGAATCTGTGCACAGAGCGTGAAAACTGGGCAAGGAACAGCGATTTTCACAGCAGAATGCTCTCATACCTTTCACTTTCCTTGCATAGCCGCTCATGTTAAAAAGCAACACATCCATATCTGCCCGTCTGCAACGCAAATTGGAAAGAACTGCCAGTGCTGGCTATCTGCAACGACAGCAGCTGAAGAAAGATGAAGCCGCTGAGGAAAACAGAGCATACAACCTAGCAAGAGATATCAAAACTCGGCCGTTAAAAGTCTACAACGATGACGAGCCTCTAATGTCTCCCACTTCCGTTGCTCGCTTCAATCCGATACCCGAGTCTGATGAAAACGAAGAGGACCAGGAAGAAGAACCGATGGAGTTCCAAGGATTTAATATCACCCCAATTGGTCCTCTTCTATCGTCCCCCAGCATTAGAACTCTCGAAGTGTGCTTGTTACCGGAGGCTGCCATTGTGGCTGCAAATAGAAGCTATGAAACATACGTAGTGGTGTTAAAGGTTAAAGCTCCACCATCGAAGTCGGTCGCGCGTCGACCTCCAATAGACCTGGTGACAGTACTGGACGTGGGGGGGACTATGGCCGGGCAAAAGCTTCAGATGATGAAACGTTCGATGCGAGTAGCGATTTCGTCGCTTGGGTCCACTGATCGCCTCTCAATTATCGCCTTCTCGTCGGGCTCCAAGAGGATTTTACCATTACGGAGAATGACCAGTAGTGGCCAGCGATCGGCGCGTCGGATCGTGGACGCATTAACCGTAATTGATCAAACTCGTGAAGAAGTTTCTGTGACGAACGATGCTCTGAAAAAAGCCGCGAAAGTGATCGAAGATCGACGCGAGAAAAACCCTTTCGCCAGCGTCATCCTCCTTTCGCACGGTCAGGGAGAGCGATTCGTCACTGCGGCATCCTCCGATCAAAGGTCCTCCCTGATCTCCTCGTCCCGCTTCTCTCACCTGGAAATCCCAGTCCACTCCGTGAAATTCCAAGACAGCGGCGCTTGTGGCCACGCGCAGCCCGATGACACGCTTGCCAAGCGCATGGGTGGTTTGCTCAGCGTAGTTGCTCAAGATTTGAAGCTTCAATTAGGAATTGTGTCCCGCTCCGTCCCGGTGGAGATCGCCGCCGTATATTCTCTATCTGTTCGACCAACGGCTCTCGGGACGGGCAACGTCCGACTCGGTGACCTCCACGCGGAGGAAGAGAGAGAATTGCTAGTGGAGCTGAAAGTGCCCGCCGCTTCCGCCCGGTCCCACCACGTTCTGTCCGTACGGTCCTCCTATCGGGACCCATCCACCGAAGAGATAGTTCACTCCAAAGACCACGCGCTGATCATTCCTCGGCCACATGCCGTTCGATCATCAGACCCAAAAATCGAACGGTTGAGAAACCTCCACGTCACGGCTCGAGGTGTAGCCGAATCTAGACGGCTCGCTGAACACAGTGATCTGTCTGGAGCTCATTACTTGCTCACATCGGCTCGCGCGTTGCTGATGCAGTCGAGCCCCAAATCAGCCGGTGAGTACTTGCGCTTGTTGGAAGCCGAGCAAGCCGAACTTCAGCGGCGCAGGCAGCAGCAGAGCCAACGTCAGAGAGTGACGGCAAGGACTGAGGAGAAGGTTGAGCCGAATACGCCGACATCAGCTTGGAGAGCCGCTGAGAGACTGGCTAAAGTGGCCATTATGAGGAAGTCGTTGAACAGAGTCAGTGATTTACACGGCTTCGAGAACGCCAGATTTTAGCTTGTAATTTTCATTTTGTTGAAAATAATTTTGGAGTACATAGACAAAATTATGAATAGAAAAAATATTTTTTTTAAATAACAAAATACAAAAGTAACGTGGCCCAGTCCTGAGGCCCATAAGACGACAAACAGTACCGGACGCCCAGGCCCTTTTCTGAAAAGGAAAAAGCCTGGGTGAGCCCCTAAAGGTGTTTTTATTTTCTGAGTTTTGTCCTTCAGCTCCTTCCCTGTTTCATAATCTTCGAAAATACCAAAACTTTTTCTTTTTTTTTTTAAGCAAATAATGATATGGATTGAAAAGGGTATGGAGAGTGAATGAACAAGGAAAAATGTGAGAATAATAATAAAGGGACGTTTCTTTGTACTCAATTCAAAGTAGGTAGTAGTGCAAGTGTCTTTGCTTGTTTTCACTCAGTGATAGGGATGTGCAAGTGATCTGACGGCCTGGTATGCCTGACTCTGCCCTAGCATTCGAGCTAGACACTGTCTAGAGTCAAGTTCAGCTTTGTTTTGCTTGGTCCGAACATATCTATTTTGTAGCTGGTTAGTGAATAGGCCATTGTAATTGTAGGTGGTTAGATTGAAAATTGATGATTTAAATTTTGTAGTTTTTAAAATCATAAATTAATGTATCATTAAAATTTAATTCGAATGGTCCATGCCATCTCAAGAAAAAACATGGTCTGGTTGGAGTGAGAACAAGACAAAGGATAATGCCAAGGTATGTGGGTTTTAAGAAGTGAGGGGAAAAAAGGAGATGGTTTTCCCAAGTGAATACAATACACGTGAGATTTTCTGACACTTATCTGCATCCCCTATCATCATCACTAAAAGAAAACCTTTTTCCTTCTCTCAGTCTGGTTTTTTGCTTAGTGCTTTCCATGGTGCCAAACAATAACTCCAAAATGTCTAGTCGTGGCCATTGTCAAGCACGTACATTATGAGAGAGAGAGAGAGAGAGAGAGAGCAGGAATTGAAATCCAAGTAAATGTGGATAAGATGCATGCATGTTCGTGTCTTTGTCCATTTCAATATTCTCTTCTATGCGATTCTTTTCATGGCACTGTAGGAGAATATATATTATAGTACAAACGTTTACTCGTGTTTTATTCTAAATTTCTTCAATGAATGATCTTTTAATTACTGTGATAGAAATTTCAAGATCAATAATGATAATAAGCAGGACAACATAATCTAATATTTTGTATTGTCATCTATTTTGAAATTGACTAACATGATTAGTGGATATAACTTTCATTAAAAAAAAAATGCTCTCTTATTTTATTCTTATGTGAAGGAGGACTAGTGGATATAACTTAGCTTTGCATGTGACTTGGTAAGATTTGACAAAGGGGCCACCAAATGGAGTCGATAATCGGACCCACTAATTCTTAATATCCAAACAATCATTATTGCAAGTCACACTAGTTGTGTATGCGTAATCTTAGAATATGAACAACATGATCTTCTTTACTTCTAAGGGAAAAAATTTGCACCTCAACATCAATCCACATCCTCATCTCCACCCTTCATCTCATCCTATACACTTGCCACTGGTAAAATAGCCTTCCCATTGTTTTCCATGGTATTAAGACTTAACTAGAGTTGACTGCTCAAACCAACGAATTGGTAAATAAGCCCCTTGGCCAAACAGGTCAAGAGTTCTACACAGATCAACAGGTTGGCTTTATTATTTTTTTTCCTTCTCACTGAACCTAAAATGACATCCTGTTGAGTTTAAAAGCAATCATCATTGGTTGATCCTGATTTAATCACTGTTTAAACTACTAACCCTTAAACATTAGTTTAATTGATTTAATTGTTGGTTCAGGTGTCAGGCTGTCAGTACCTTGGTTATCACTTACATGTTAAGTATCTCCTGCTCGTCTTGGTCATACCTCTTCTTTTACTGCATAAGTAATCTAAAATCACCATTTCTGAGGGTGTTTCATGTAGGACCATTGAAAACCAAAGAGATCAACTAAAGCTAACATGATGACCTTAGTGGAACAAAACAAGACAAGAAAATGTTGAATTTTGATGACTCAGTGTGAAAAATTTGGTGAAAGAAAGAAAGAAGTGAAGCCTAAATCTGCGTGAAAGGGATAAAAGGAATGAATGACAAGAGACTTTTAAGCTTTGAGAGAGGCCCCATGCAATGTAAAAGAGTCATATTCATAATAATATTGACCTTTTGGAAGGAGCCACACAGGGAGGGGGGCTCCTGAACAGGTCCTTAAATTGCGCAAAACTTTTAGAGCACTGTTAAGTGCTGTTCATGAGTGGTCTCCTTTTGTTCCTACTTTCCAAATGTGCATCTCTAAAGGGCCATTTATTTATTTATTCGTTATTATAATAATAATAATAAATGTAAATCCCAATAAAGGCTCAGTCTTTGCTTATGCTTCTAAGCATAAATGTTTCGCCGCGAGGACGGGAAGGGGACCATGCAAATTTGGGGATTAGTGTTTTGTTGTTACTTTTTTCATCACTATTTATCTGTTTTGATTTTTCCCCCTTTATTTACACATACAAACGGTAACATGTTTGGCTTCTCTGTTACAGGAATTCAGTGATTGTCTTTTTCAGTGGATTTTCAAATTCTAAGATTCTTGTGAATTATAATGAAAGAAGAGACCAAATATATAACTTACACTGATTCATTGGCATTTTTTCAGTAAAATGGAACTAGTGTTTTGATTGTTTAGAAATAAGTTGCATTGTTCATGACTTACAAGAATTTAACTTGTTAGAGTTATTATATTATATATAGGTATTAATTAATTTCCTTTAACTAATATTTTATGTCATGATTATCCTTTGTCATTAGATCCGTTAATGAGCTGGCAAAAGTTAAGAATGAACCGTTGTTTCAACAGAAATGAAGAAATTTGGCCAAAAAAGTAATAGAAGAAAGTAACTTTTTAGTAACCCTGCCTTGCCCATGGGGCCGTTAGAGGCTAAGAGCTGTTGAGTTGAAAAACGTTCGGAAAAAAGGTGGATTAAGCGTGGGCCTGGAACGATAACAAACCTGAACCAAGAACAAGCCCAAGTAAAATTCAGATGCAAGAGGCTATTAGCTATTAGCTTTTTTTTTTTTTTTTTTTACCTGAATATTGGCTATTAGCTTGCACCTTTATTCTTACGCGGGAGCCATATTCATTACGAAGTTAGAAGAAAGAAAGGTTGAATGGCCAATATATAAGTGAACCTTTTCCCTGTCATTTTCGGATTCAGTCTGGATCAAGTATTCGAATAGAAATATAGTGCATGTATACAGAGACGGACCTAGGTCGAGTTTAGGGGGGCCCAGATTTTTTTTTAAAATTTTTTTATCAACTTATAGGATGATTTTTTATAAAGGAACAGTTACTGTTTTGGCCCCTCAATCTTTTAATTTTAACTTTTATCATATTTTCACTATGTATTTCTTACTGCCTAGTTCCTATGCAATTATACATTCTTTACTTTCTAGCACCTATATTTTCTCGTGTGTAGCTTTTTCACTTATAGGATAGAGGTATGAGTATTTTTTTTATCCTATTTATAAATTAAAGTATTAAATTTTCATCATAAATTTTTCTTTTATCCTCTATTAAATATTGAAGAAATAAAATATATTATTAAAGTATATACATTTAAGAGGTCTGAAATTAAAAACTTATTAAATTTTTAAATAAAATTAATAAGTTTTAAGATTTTCTTGGTTTCAATGAAACATGTTAAAATGACTTATAAATAAAATTAAAAAATATTTTTATAAATAATAGTAGATAAAAATATAAATATATTATTAATTTTTCTTAAATTTTATAACGTGAGTTTTTTATATACTTTGGAAAGCTCTTTTCTTATTTTTTAAGTCTTATATAAATGATTTGTCATCTTCTAAATTTTTTCAATTCTATTGCAAAATTATTTTTAATTATTAATAAAAATTAAATAACTTGATCTATATATAATTATATATTACAAAATTGGCCCCCCCAGCCTTGCGAGTTTGGTTCCGCGCCTGCATAGATATAATTATAATATGGACCCCAAGGGCAATGGCAATTTGTTGCAAAGTTACGGGATGCTATAATAAAAAATAAAATTTACTTATATACTACACTTTACAAAATATTTACTCAAATATTATAAATTCAAAAATTGACATATATCAAACCGAGTTTTAAAAATATTTTGATGCACAACTCGATGTGTATCAAGTCAATTTATGAGTGAGATAATTTTTTTTTAAGAAAGTAGCCCTAGGTGGTAGGACTTACATTATTCTATCTCTCCTCCCCTAAATCACTATTTCTCTCTCTCTCTCTCTCTCTCTCTCTCATATATTAACATTATCTTCATTTAAATATATTATTAACTTATTCATAAATAACATGAAATAATATAAAATATACCTTAAAAATAAAAATATTAAATACATAAACCATGTGTTATATAAAAATTACTAAAATAAAATATTAAAACTTATTTTTAAATATTATTATTATTTAATAATAAGAAAAAGTTAATTTTCAGGTCCTTATAATTTTTATCAATTTTGACGTAGGTGCCTGTGATTTATTTTGTTTTAATCAAGTTTTTATAATTTAATCAATTAAATATGATAACTTTAAGGATTAAAATCCTTAAATTTTTTTCTAAAAAAATTATGGACTTCTATATTTTTATTAATAGATTATATAACTTTAAAATTAAATATATAATTTTTATAACTCAAAATATATATATATAGGTTATGTTTTTAAATAAATTTTTATATAAAAATTAATAAAAATTTAAACATTGGTAAAATCAATTTTTTTAACTTTTTGGATTAAAAGTATTTATTATTAATTTTAATAGTTTCAAAAGGAATTTGGTTATAATATATAATTAATATATTATATAAATTATTTTTAAGGTATATTCTATATTATTTCATATTATTTATGAAGAAGTTAATAATATATTTAAATGAAGAAAACATTACTCACCCCGTTAAAAAATGTAAGACATTTTTAATTGAATCTCATCATCTAATAAAGTAGTTACCTACTTTCAAACTAACCCTATCTTTTCATATTTGTCTCTATTAAACACCATATAATAAATATAAAGTCATTATTAATAGGTACACTTTTAAAAAAATAATAATTATACTTTAAAAGATTAAAAATCTTATATTTTTTAAATCTAATTTTTTAAATAATATTTTATAATTTTAAATGGAGGAAGTAATATATATACAAGCCTGTGTGTGTGACAGAGAGTGGGGGAGGGAAGAGGGGAGAGAGAGAATGTAGTGAGTTAGGGGAAGAGAGATAGAATAATAGGGTGTCAGTTCTCACCGCTCTATGCTTGCTTTTTTTTAAAAAAAAAAATTTATCTCACACATAAGTTGGTTTGACACACACCAAGTTGTGTGTCAAAAGGTTTTTAAAACTCTGTTTGGTAGATGTTAATTTTTGAATTTATAGTATTTGAGTAAATATTTTGTAAAGCATAATATATGAATAAATTTTATTTTTTGTTATAGTATCTGCGTAACTTTGCCGCAATTTGTTCATTGTCATTATCTTGTCTCGAACACAGACCGGTTTTTATGGAATGCTGATAATGAAGCTTGGGTTAGAGCTACAAGAACACCATAACCAAGAAGCTTTGTTCATGTTTGCTAATATATGTTATGTATGTATATATGTGTGAAAAGCTAGATGTAACAAACTCTACTTTGAAGAAGAAAACATTTTTAAAGGAGACATTGCCTTCATTAGTGTTAAAATGATTATTGATTATCTCAAACTAGAAGCAGCAACAAATTAAAGGGATAATCTAGATGGTCACCATCTCAAGATGGCCAGGTTAGATAAGAAGTAGATGGTTCTATTAACTACTAAAGAG